TTGAGACTCACATTGCAAACTTTGAGAGAGAACCAGTTGTATGCCAAACTCTCAAAGTGCGACTTCTGGCAGGATCGGGTAGCGTTCTTGGGTCACATTATCACCCAAGAGGGCGTATCCGTAGATCCATCCAAGATTAAGGCGGTGATTGAGTGGCGTGCACCTACCTCGGTCACGGATGTAAGAAGTTTCTTGGGATTAGCCGGTTACTATCGGAGATTTGTTAAAGATTTCTCCAAGATAGCAAGATCGTTAACCAACCTGACGAAGAAGACAACCAAGTTCTATTGGGATGAAGATTGTGAAGCGGCATTTCAAGAGTTGAAGAAAAGACTCACAACCGCGCCGGTCTTGACATTACCGTCAGGGACGGAGGGGTTCGATATCTATAGCGATGCATCTAAGAAGGGGTTGGGGTGTGTGCTTATGCAGAATAGGAAAGTGGTGGCTTATGCATCAAGACAATTGAAGGTGCATGAAGTTAACTATCCTACTCATGACTTGGAGTTAGCTGCAGTAGTGTTTGCACTGAAAATCTGGAGACATTACCTATACGGAGCACAATGTAAGATATACACCGACCACAAAAGCTTGAAGTACATATTCACTCAAAAAGAGCTTAACATGAGGCAAAGAAGATGGCTCGAACTTCTAAGTGATTACGACTTGGAAATCCAATACCACGAGGGAAAAGCTAATGTGGTGGTGGATGCTTTGATCCGGAAATCTGAGCACTCATGCCGAGCAACATGGATATTACCAGAAGAACTGTTCTGAGACTTTCAAAGATTGAACTTGGAAGTAGAACAATATGGCGAAGTAGATAGTGAAATACAGTTATGTACTATGACCGTTACACCATCTATCTTCGAGGAGATCAAGAATGGGCAACCGGGAGATGTGAAGCTCGAGAGAATCAAGGAAAGAATGAAAGATGGGGTCAATGGACCATTCAGGACACATGAAGATGGGAGCATCCGATACAAGGGAAGGTGGTGTGTTCCTCTGAAGTGTGTAGATATTAAAAGACAAATCATGGAGGAAAGACACAACACTCCCTACTCAGTACATCCCGGGGGAGACAAACTATACAAAGACCTCAAAAAGAACTTTTGGTGGCCGGGAATGAAGAGAGAAGTAGCTGAATTCGTATCCCGATGTTTGAATTGCCAAAAAGTCAAAGTAGAGAGATGTAAACCCAAGGGACTTGTGCAACCCTTGGAAGTACCTAAATGGAAGTGGGATTCCATCTCGATGGATTTTGTTGGAGGGTTACCCTTAACTAAATCCGGAAGAGATAAGATTTGGGTAATCGTTGACCGATTAACCAAAACTGCAAGATTTATTCCCATGAATGAAACTTGGAGCATGGACAAGCTGGCCAAAGCCTATGTCAAATACGTGGTCAAACACCACGGAGTACCTCAAGACATCATATCGGATCGAGATTCACGATTCTTATCTCAATTCTGGAAGGAATTACAAACGGCTATGGGGGCAAAATTGAAGTTAAGTACTGCTTTTCATCCAACCACGGATGGGCAGACCGAAAGAACAATCCAAACGTTAGAAGACATGTTGAGGGCATGTGTTCTTGATTTGCAAGGATCATGGGATGAGCACCTAGACTTAATAGAGTTTTCGTACAATAACAGTTACCATGCTAGCATCGGAATGGCCCCGTACGAAGCTCTATACGGTCAAAAGTGTAGAAATTCCTTATGTTGGGGTGACATTGTCGATCAGGTGGTTCTAGGACCACAATACTTGCAAGATACCATAGAGAAAGTCAAAGTCATCCAAGAGAGGATGAAGGCTTCCCAAGACCGACAGAAATCATATGCCGATCTTGGGAGGAAGCCAGCTGAATTCGAGATAGGGGAGAAAGTTCTACTCAAAGTCTCTCCTACAAGGGGAGTAATGAGGTTCGGGAAGAAAGGGAAACTAAGTCCGAGGTTCATTGGACCCTACGACATCCTAGAGAAGGTGGGAAAAGTGGCATATCGCTTAGCTTTACCCACAGAGTTGGATAAGGTAACAAATGATTTTAAAACAAGATACTTTTCAACGATTAGATTTCATCCTTAACATACAGACTTGTGCTAGGTACATAACGTCTTTCACGTATCACAATTAAAAAAGTACGTTCGAGATGAGTCACATATCATCAATTCTAAGGTAAGAGACCCTAAACTTAACATGAACCAAAGTAAACTGGAAATAATATAAGTTAACCCTTATATTATTAGGTGATTGAAATGGATGAGGCGTTATCCTACGAAGAAAACCCCGTAGAGATCCTTGATACTAAAACCCGAGAGACGAGGAAGAAGAAAGTTAAGATGGTAAAAGTACTTTGGTCAAACCATTTGACCGAGAATGCAAGATGGGAGACAGAAGAGGATATGCGTAAACGGTATCCTGAACTGTTCAACTAAGGTAAATATTGGGTTACGAGGACGTAACCTTTCTTTTAGGGGGGCACGATGTAACATCTTATAAACTTGTAATACTTCATCTTCATACTTAATTCTCGTCTTAGTTTATGCTTCGAGAACGAAGCATTCTTTAAGGAGGGTAGAATGTGATACCTTGAAAATTTGAAATAAAAATAAATAAATAAATAAATCAGATACGTTATATCTGATAAATCAAATGAAAGTAATATAAAAATATTTTGTATTATACTTGGTGTATAAAAATATATGCATGCTACATGCAATAAAATTAAACACTTATGTGGCATCGAAAAAATAAAATAAAAATAAAACAGAAATAAATCAGATAAAATATAGATGACGGAATAAATAAATAAATAAATAAATAAATAAATAAATAAATAAATAAATAAATAAATAAATAAATAAATAAATAAAAATAGTAAGAATATTAAAAATTACTAATAATAGCATCAAATTAATAAATGAAAATATGAGATCATAAAACAATGACACATGCTAGGATCACCTACCAAATAATGTATATACATTATGTACATATTTTTACATATATAATTATATATATTTATATGTAAAAATTAAAATAAAATAAAATTAAACATCAGCATAAATGGGAATCAAATCATGAATCAATACACATGCCATGTTCATCAACTACCAACCTATCATATACATTATTATTATTATTATTATTATTATTCATACAATTATCAAATAAATAAAATAAACCATAAGGATCATCTAGACCTATAAATACACCCTCTTAGCCATCCCAAACACTGCAAATCGGAGAGATAGAAGCTATATATATACATATACATATATATACATAATCTCGTCGGAAAATTTATATCTATATTATTTTACGTATCAAACTTCGTAAAAACGATAGAGGAGGGTCGTGAGAAGTCTAGGAATACTTCCCAATAAATTCCAGACCGATTCGTAGTCACCGGAGTTGCTAAAGGTTGAATAGATAGGAAATAACAAAAATAATAGAATAGTTATTGATTTAGAATTTTGATATATATTAGAAGGAGAATTCAAGTGAAGACCAAGCTAGAGATGTTAGTAAGAGGATTATCGCAATTTAAGGTAAGTTCTATGTCAACAAAAAATGTTTTATCTCGTATTTATATGTATGCAATATTTGAACTATGTGGACTGTTTATGAATTGGAAACTATTTGTTTGACATGGAATGAATATTTTGAATGTATGGACATTGGTGGATTATTATCTATTATGGATTATTAAATGTATATTCTTTTTATTAAAGAACATTGGTGGATTGATATTTAGTACACAGTATATTTTTGGAAAGTGTGACAAGAATGACTTTGGGAAAAACTTAAAGTTTTTCATAATATATTTTTACATCTCGAGAGAAACACGAGGCGTGGGTGATTAGGACTACTACTACTTTTGGTGAAATTTATTTGGGTCGGTAACCAGTCCGACAAAGACATGCTCCGGTAGACATCCCGGGCTTTTATTTGAGGACCAAAGGTCCTTTGGTGGTTGTAGTAGTAGTTACCTAATTTATCCCTGGACAATGTCCCTTGTGAGTAGGTGGTAGAAAACATCCTGCCTACTTTGATTTCTTACTACTCGGAGGGCTTGGAATCCCTTTTAGAGGGTGTGCACACTTAAGTTAGAAATTCAGCTTCCAAATTGGTGGTCGGTGGGAGCCGGAATTCCGGGATGAGTCGTAAATAACAACGACTCGTTGGGCTCGAGGAATCTTGAGTTTCGCCCACTCTTAAAAGAAATCTAAAGTATTACTTTTGGAGGAATTGAGGAATGACATTATCTATTGAAGAAATTATTTTGAGACATGAAGTTATTTTGGAGATATGAGAGGGTATTTTCTATATATATACCTATACCAAACCTATTTTCCAAATTATATTATTTTACGGGTTCGGGTGGAATCTTACTTAGCTCTAAAATTAATTTTTGTCTCTTTTGTCTTCTTCTCTTTGCTCTATTGTACAGATGATTATGATTATGAAGATTGATGTACTTGCTGCCCGAGTGTTCCGCTAGTTGCACACGTTTCATTAATTATCGTTGTTTAAATTTGTAATTCATAAACTTTGTCCTAAGACACATTTCATTGTTATTTGAACTTATGGTGGATAGCCTGTGCACTCAATCATGTATAGGTTGAGTGTGGCGGTGATGCACCTGTTTTTCCCTTAAAGACTTCCACTGTATTCTAAACATGTTTAATAATAAAGATGGTTTCATTTAAAAATGTGATTTTATTTGGGTGGGAAAAATGGGGGTGTTACATTTAGTTCCTAGTTGCAGGTTAGAACTAAATGAAACCATCTTTATTATTAAACATGTTTAGAATACAGTGGAAGTCTTTAAGGGAAAAACACCCTTAATTTAATTACCTTTTTAATTAAGATGGTATAATTAGTCACTTATCCTATTCCAAATCCAATTAAGATGGTATAAATAATAAAGATGGTTTCATTCAAGCAACCAATCAGTCAACACAAGCTTCCAACTCATCACATGTTAAATTTTTTTTGGATAAAGGGTAATTATATATTATCCAAAGAGTTTATGTACAAGTACATCCACAAAAAGGGGGAGCAAAAATGGGGCTATCCCAACGAGGGATATGCCAAGACCTGTGGGCTATACTATCGATCCCAAATCAGACAAAAGGGCAAGGAGCCGTACTACACATTACAATTCAAAACATAATAAGTTCATGAGGGTAGTACTATAAAGGATCTTATACACCATGTATTGGATCCTAGCATAAACTTCCTCCTCATGAGCTTTGGCATCATCAAATCTGGTTGCATTCCGCACCCTCCATATCCAGTATATGGTGTAGATAAATGCAATCCGGGCAGCTTTGGCTTTGACTCCAGCACCCGCATGGTCCTTCTTGATCCACTTCACCGAGCTATCCAGGGTGGTCATCTGCCTAGGCATCCCAATCCATGCTCTCACTTTGCTCCATACCTGTCCTGTAAATTGACAACCAAAGTATAGGTGTGCTACCGTCTCCGGTTCACCCTTACAAAACGGGCAGATGTTAATCACCTCAAGCCTACTAAGGTTATCATAAGTTGCTAAGCGATTGCGGAAGGCAAGCCAAGCAATAAATGAAAATTTAGGAGGTATATAGGTTTTCCAAATGAAAGGCATCCAAACCTGAGTGTTGCTCTTGATTCTAATGAGGTCATAAATTTTAGAGGAGCACAACTTCCCATTAATAACAAGCTTGGAAAGGGCATTAATTGTGCTCCCAATAGAGTCAAATTTAGAGACCAAAAGGTCTCGGATCTGCCCAAACTTCTTCATAAGTTGGGAGTCCCTAGTGTGTGGGGAGAATTCCCACACACTTCTACTCTTAAGGTATACCCCATGCACCCACTTTACCCACAAAGTATCACGCTTAAGATGAATGTCCCACAAGGTCTTTGAAAGAAGAGCATTATTCCATGTTTTGGTATGCCTAATGCCCAAGCCCCCCTCCTCTTTTGGAAGGCACATATCATCCCAAGCAACCCTGGAAAATTTGCACCCCCAAAAGAAAATACGGCAAAGTGAAACCACTCTGTCTAGGATGGCTTGTGGTATAGGGAACACCTGTAACCAAAAGGAATGTACCCCCTGAATAACAGATTTGATTAGCTCAGTTCTACCTGCATAGGACAAGGTTTTAGTATTCCAGGCGTTCAAATAATTTGTAACCTTCTCCAGGAGTGGGGCATATTCGGCCACAGCCAGTTTTAGGGGGGAGAGGGGGATCCCAAGGTATTTAACCGGAAAAGCTCCAACTTTGAAGTCCACCAAATCAAGTATAGCCGTGAGCTCATGGTCCCTAACTCCCCCCAAAAAAATGTTTGACTTGTCAAAATTGACCCTTAATCCCAAGACATTACCAAACTCATTTAGAGCATCTATCAAAACCTTAACAGAATAAGTATCCCCTCTACAAAATAACATGAGATCATCAGCATATGCAAGGTGTGAAATCTTAAGGCTACCACATTTAGGGTGGTAGTTAAAACCCGAGGTGGTTTTCAAGTTCATTAATCTAGATAGGAATTCCAAGAATAGGACAAAAAGGAGAGGGGACATAGGATCCCCCTGTCTTAATCCCCTCTTACCACGAAAGAACCCATGTAGTGTCCCATTGAGGGAGATTGAGAAGGAAGCAGTTGAAACACATTCCATGATCCATTTAACAAATTGCAAAGGAAAACCAATGCTAAGGAGTACACTATTAAGGAAATCCCAAGAGATGGTATCATAGGCTTTCCTAAGGTCCACCTTAATCATACACCTAGGTGAGCAATGCTTCCTAGTGTACCCCTTAACCAGTTCTTGCACTAAAAAGATGTTATCCATCATAAGTCTACCATTTACAAAAGCCCCCTGTGCATGGTCAACCAAACCGGGTAGACAAGGAATCATTCTATTAGCAATAATCTTCGTGATGACCTTGTAAATAACATTTGTGCAAGCAATAGGTCTAAAATCAGCATCTGTGGGGGAGTGTGATGTCTTAGGAATTAAAGCAATAATCGTGTGATTAATTTGCTTTAAAATCCTACCAGAATCAAAGAAACCTTTCACAGCATCAATGACATCCTCCCCAACCACCGACCAGTTTTCTTTGAAAAAGGCAGAAGTAAATCCATCTGGTCCCGGGGCCTTGTCATCCCCAATGTCAAACAAGGCATTCTTAATCTCTATGTCTAAGATGGGAGAGAGCAGCCCTAAGGACTGGTCCCTACTTAGACATGTCCCAGATGTAATAATGCTAGGGTCAATTGGAGGACAACTTACCGGAGTTCCAAACAGATTAACATAAAAACTTTCAAGTTCATTAGCAACCTGATCAATAGAGGTAGTAAGCTCCCCATTAGGTAGTTTTAAAGCCGTAATGGAGTTCTTGGCAGCCCTCTTTTTCACAATTGAATGGAAATATTTGGTACATCTATCACCTTGAAACAAATGAGTGGCCTTCGCTTTTTGCCTAAAGAAAGCATCCTCGGACTTTTTAAGAAAGAGCACTCTCTTCTTAGCAAGTTGAACCTCATTCTTTAAGGTATCATCGAGAGGAGAGGTTAAGAGAAGGTTGTGCACCCTCTTAAACTCTATTTTCGATTCCTTTACCTTAGAAGAAATATGTCCAAATGCAACCTTATTAAGTTCCTTGAGTGGTTTCTTAAGAGCTTGAAGTTTTTTAACCAATCTAAATTGAGCATTACCCATCACAAACTTAAACCAAATGTCATGAAGAATAGAGGGGAAAGATTCATGCTTAAGCCACATATTGAAAAATTTGAAAGGTTTTGACCCCAAGGATGGGTTATGGCCGAAAGTAACCAAAGGGGCAACATGGTCAAACTCAGACTCCATGGAATGGAAATGAGTCTTACATGTGATGCCATAAGCACTCCAAGCAGAATTCATCAAAACCCTATCCAACTTTGCCCAAAGTGAACCCCTATACCAAGTAAAGAACTCCCTGGTAGAGGGGGTGTCCACCAAGTTTGCATTAAGTTTAAGGTCAATAAGGTCCTGCATTAGGTATGCCGAGGGTGGGGTGGGACCAATCCTTTCATTAGGGGAGCACACACAATTGAAATCACCCATTACTAGCCAAGGACTAATAATGTTTGACCCCAAGTTGGTAATATGCTCCCAAAGGGTTCTTCTTTCCCCCACCGTGTACAAGGCATATATAAATGTAACCAAGAAATTCAGTTGGGTGGTCTTACATAAACATTTACAATGGATGTGTTGTTTCCCAATTTCAAGCACATCAATGTCAATAAAATTAGAATTCCACACAAGGGCCATACGGCCACCATCAATAACATCAAAATTAGTAATGGAAGACCAATGGGGGCATCTAATCATCCTAAGTTTCTCAAAATTAGAAGAAGTCAACTTAGTTTCAAGCAAACAACACATATGTACATTATGAACACGAAGGAAATTAAAGATAGTAGTTTGTTTTGAGACCTTATTAAGGCCTCTAACATTCCAAGTTGTAATTATCATCAAACAATTGGGGTGGTACCACCTTCCTCTCCTTGCCTCTTCTTCTTACCATTCCATGGCCTCTTTTTCCAAGTGTTGCCTTGTAGTACATGGTCACTAAAGTACCTGCCAAGGAAAAGATGATGAATATTACGCATAAAGAACGAGTCAAAGGCATACCTGTCATCATGTATAATCACCCCGGGCAGATTTTCAAGGCATTTTTTTGGTGAAGGTTATCCCCGGTTTGTCCAAGTCGTCCGTAACGGAGACACAATTATCAAGTCTAACCAACTTTGCATTCGGCCCCAAGTCATTCCAATGAGCTGTGTGTAGGTTGGGTGGCTGCCCCTCTATAAAGTCCACTTTGATCACTACATCATCATAATAACTCTCACGGATGTCATTAATGATTATGACATCCGAGTCATTAACTTCCTCTTCCTCAAATTCCTTGTCAAGGTCTATATCTTTGGGAGGTGTTTCATGGTCCATGTCTTTGGGAGAGGTGGGCTACCTATTCTTCACAACCCCCTCCTCTATCTCCTTATTCTCCCCAAGTGATTCATCTTGGTTGCTTGGAATGATAGCCACGGCAAGGGGGTTTTCATCAAGGATAGTGGTTTCCTCTTCAATGATTTCCCCCTCCTCTCTATCAATTGGTTTGTTTTGGACAGCTTGTTGTTGGTTGTTGGCAGCTTTGGGTCTATCATGGACTTCATCATAGCATCTATTCTTTGCTTTGATTGAGTAAATTTGCCTTCTTTGCTCTTCTACTTCATACAAGGATAGTTTGTTCGGTTCCTTTGGGGGTTCTTTCTCTTCCTTTTCCCTTCTCTCAATTTCATGAAGGATTTTACATGTAAATGGGTGGTGGCCGAAAGTTTTGCAATGAAAACAATAATTGGGATATGTTTCATAGACAACACTTTGGCTATAGATCCTTCCCGAGGGGAGCTTCACATCAAATTGGAGTGGGGGAGGTTTGGCCGCATCTACCTCAATCAAGACTCTAGCATAGGATGATCTAGCTTTGTCTTGAGTGACCTTGTCCGTGGCAAGAGGCTTGCCCACTCTAGAGGCTACGGCACTAATGATGTCTTCTCTCCAAGCTCGCATTGGTAAACCATGAAACTTGACCCAAATTGGGACTTTAAGAAATTCATCACTTGTGGTAGAGAAGTCATCATCAAGGACTTTCAAATAGCACATCTTACCGTATATGGAGTGTGGTCCATCTAGGAGGACTTGATCTCTATCCTCTTCTCTTTGGAATTTAAAGATTATCCATTCTTTGCTATGAGGTCTAGCTTTGCAAGGAACTCCCCACTTATGTATCATGGCATTAACGGCTTTAGGCCCGGGGAAGGTTCCAACAAAGTACCCAACCAAACAATGTCCCCAAAGTTCCACCATTGAGGGGAGAGTGTAGCTAGAGAGATCAACCATGTCACTCGTGGGGGGGATGTAAGTAAGTTTCATACCTTGAGAGGGTTCACGGTTGTTTGCAAATAGGGATTTCCACGGTTTAGTGGATGTAGAAGCCTCCTCTACTTTGTCCTTTCCTTTGTTAGAACGGCCAAGAGCTTTGAGGTAGACCTCATTCACATCCTCCTCCTTGCCCTTCTTGTTGTCCAATGCCGCGGCATCCTCCTTGTTGTCCACCTTGCCCTTGTTGTTGTCCAATGCCGCGGCATCCTCTTTTTTGTCCATTGCCGCGGCATCCATCGGTTGCATTGACTCCAAAGCTGTCTCGTTTTGCACTTCCATGGTTTGTAAAACCTCAGGTTCCTCCATTTGTACAGCTGCAGCCTCTATGTCTATTGTCTCAATGATTTCCATAGCTTGGTTCTCAATAATCTCCCCATTCAAAGTTTCCTCTTCAAGGTTCTCCTTATGAGTTTCATTAGGTGTAGCCGTAGGTTCCAACAAATCATTCACCATAAGTTCCAAGGAGGGAGTAGCTCCAACGGTTTGGTCATTAATGATGTTGGTGTCATTAATTCCATGAGCCGAATCCTCTATAAGACCCCCCTCCATCCCTTGTGATTCAACCATCAAATTAGGAATTTCAACATTTACCTCTTTGTTGTTGTTAGCTTTCCTAGAAGTTCCTTGCCTTTTCTTCACGGAAGTTTCCAAAGGTGGGAAGTCTTCCTCCCCCTCAACAACATCTTCAACATGGCCATCAATCTTGGTCTTGCTCTTCCTAACCGTGGACGAAGTCCCCTCGTGTGCATCCTTTTTTGTCCTCGATTTTTCCCACCCCATCATAGGTGAGCTTGGTGGAGCTTGGACCAGATTCTTTCTAGTGGTAACCATGTTTCCCTCGGTCAGGGGGTGTAGGAAGAGTTTTGGGAGTGTTTTGAGCAAAGGGAGCCCCAAAACACTAAGCTAATCCCAAAACAACACCCCCTCTCCAATTTGAGCTTCGAAATCCGTACCAATGGCGGAAAGTCCGTACCAACGGTCACAAGGGACGTTGTACGGACACGGCTGATGATGATGAAACTACAAACGAAGGAGCGCAAGAGGACCACGAGCTTCACCCTATATCCAGATTTTCCATAACACAAAAGGAGCTACAAGGATCTAGGAAAAGTTTTTCGAATGTGAATAGTGGATTTCGGAAACCAGTTCAGGAAATCCAGCTAAAACCGAGCTAAGAGCTAAGGTATTTGGAGTATAACTCATCACCTGTTAAAAAAATTAAGGGAGGAGAAAGGAACAAGAAAAATAACAAAAATTAGCTTTAGAGCTAAGTAAGTACTACCCAACCTCGTAAAATAATCAGGTTTGGCGAAAAATAGTTTTTCATATAATACTATATAAAAATACTCACACCGCCAAAATTCTTTTCAAATCAAAAACATCATTTATCAACTTTATAACCTCAAATACCTGTATAGTTTAAAATAATACTTATAAGCTCCAAACAATCCACATCTCGATTAAAAGTATCACTCTTCAAAATAGATCTTTTGTGTACGACTCATCCCGGAATTCCGGCTCCCACCGACCACCAATTGGAAACTGAACTTCACCCTTAAGTGTGCACACCCCCTAAAAAGGATTCCAAGCCCTCCGAGTAGTAAGAAGTCCAAGTAGTTCGGACAACTTCCCCCTACCTCACAATGGGTTAGATACCCGGGTGATTAGAAACTACTACCGCGGCCACCAAAGAACTTTTAAAGTTCTCAAAAGAAATACCGGGAATCTCCTAGCCACCAATATTTACCGGGATTTCTCCCGCCACCAATAATCATCATAAACCTAAACTAAACCCGTGGTATATAGCTCTAACCACCCACACCTCGTGTTTCTCTCGAGATGTCAATAATCATTATAAAAAACATTATTCATTCTTGAAAAATCATTGCTCTATACACAGTCTTCCAAAATATCCATTTAATGGATACGTCCACCAAAAATCCACATTCATAAATACTCCAAAATTGTATTACATAAAAAAATCACTCCAAAGTCATACTAGGGATTAAAACCCAAAATATATCTCCAATATTTCACAAATTCTTAGTCGCCCAAAATAGTACACATTTAAATTTTCACACTTAATCACATAATGCATAATAAGCATATAATACGAGGAAACAATTTTGGATTGACAGAGAAACTTACCTCAAATTCAATGCTCCTAATTCTCTTCCTCTACTCCGGTCTCTAAATAATCACCTTTTTAATTAAGATGGTATAATTAGTCACTTATTCAATAGTTTATCCAATTTTCCCTTTTTATTTCCTTATTCGAATTTATTAATTTAATTAATTATTTATCTGAATTAATCACTTTTTATTAATCAAAATACCTTACTAATTCAGCCTTCAATTATAGTGTTTGAATAAAATATCCGAATATAATTAAATTTAACATCCAATTTTTAATTTACTAATCGCCATTAATTTACTTTACTCATAAAACATTCAAATAGTTAACTATATTCTAATATTATTAAAACATATCCGAATTAACTATTCAATTTTCTACTTCAATTAATCCAATAAATAGTGAAAATAAAATCCATCCAATTTTATTTAATCTAATTATGGTACTAAATCAAAATATCAAAATAACTAATTATTATTTTAATGTAATATTAATTAACCAACAATTCATTTTATCATCTAACATTATTTAATTTTGTCAATTAACTAATTTATCCAAGTGATTACTATCAATTAATCAAGTCAATTTCATCATTAATATTTCTCATGTCAAACTTATCAATTTTTCATATTATTATTATTGTTATTATTATTATTATTATTATTCATGGTTATAATCCAGTCCAAGAAGGATTCCTAGCCAAATAAACTGTCGAGACCAACTCTAAATTTAAACAGAGTATCACGGAGTATTTATACACATACGCAGTAAAGCAGGGGAAGTCGTCTTCTCCGAATACCACCGGTGAGCAGAGTAGAACGGCGACGCAGCGAGGCAGCTCTTCTGATGGCGACCCCGACAGACAGCTACTAGCTTCTTCCCTCGGCGTCGGCAGTGGATGTTTCGACGATGGGCTAGTGTCCTCCTCCGGCGCACAGAGACGGCAACTAAGTAAAGTTCTATGGCAACCTTTCTTCTTCTACAGCGATGCTGGAACTCGGCTCCAACCCCGGACGAATCCAACGATATCCCCGATTTCTCTTCTCTTGATTATGTTATACTATAAGTCGGCGGAGTAGTATTTTGTGTGGCTTTGGTCTTTTCTCTTGTTTTGCTACGAGACGTATATGCCGCATGTATATATACACGCAGTCTTCGCCCATCTGTATGCATCCAGCCGTTTGTAGTCTTTAATTCGCTCATTATGATGATCCGCTTTTCTTTAGTCTTCAATATTAGTTATTACCGCAGCCCGCATGTATGATGTATTAGCTCCCAGGCACGTTACTTTCCCTTTGCCGTTTCAGATTTTCTTATACAATAGAAATGGAGTATAATACTCCCTCCGTGTATAAGTATGGCTACCAGCATAAGTTGAAAAGTCATCCTGTCATTCTTATTATTCTCAACACTTTATGCGCAGTTATAATATATCCAAGAATTGAGTATTTTGTACTTCATATATATGTATATCATATGCTATGTGTTATGCAAGAATTGAGTATTTTGTACTTCATATATATGTATATTAGTATATACGTTATGCATGCATGTGTTATGCATGATATACATAGTATGTGTATACTGCATAACATGTATTATGTATGATATATCATGTAAAGCTTATGTCTCATGTACGTATTTAATACATGTGTATAACATGTATGATATGTATGTTGTATGGGTACTATATGTATCTATCCGTTATGGACTACGTAGCTTTTAGAATTATATTAATAATAACTCTTTATATTTTTGTTGAATAGTAACCGAAATATATATATTTTTTAACGTTTATAATATCATTTGACGTTTTTCAGTTTTCATCAAGTTGTAATCAAATTTTCATTTATTTCATTTTTATTAGATCTGATTTACTTTTATTTTATTTTATTATTATACTTCTACTTTAAATTTTTAGGGTGTCACATTCTATCACCCTTAAAGAATGCTTCGTCCTCGAAGCATAAGCTACAATTGTTTTATTAATACAGGTGTTTATAGTCTATCCCACTTGAGTAATATTTCGTACTTGAAGCATAAGCTAAAGGTTTCTAACGAATAATCTTACTCTATTTTACACGATTTGGCAAATACAGAAGTCCTAATCCTAATCATAGTCTTAATAGGAATCCTAATCCTAATCCTAATCCTAATCCTAATAGAAATCCTAATCCTAATCCTAATCCTAATAGGAATCTTAATCCTAATCCTAATACTAATAAGAATCCTAATCCTAATAGGAATCTTAATCCTAATCGTAATCCTAATAGGAATCCTAACCCTAATCCTAATCCTAATTGGAATCCTAATCCTAATCCTAATAGGAATCCTAATCCAAATCCCAATAGGAATCCTAATCCTAATCATAATAGGAATCCTAATCCTAATCCTTATGGGAATCCTAATCCTAATCCCAATAGGAATCTTAATCCTAATCATAATCCTAATCTTAATAGAAATCCTAATCCTAATCCTAATCCTAATCCTAATAGGAATCCTAATCTTAATCCTAATCCTAATAGGAATCCTAATCCTAATCCTAATCTCAATAGGAATCCTAATCCTAATCCTAATAAGAATCCTAATCCTAATCCTAATGCTAATAGGAATCCTAATCCTAATAGGAATCCTAATCCTAATCCTAATCCTAATAGGAATCCTAATCCTAATCCTAATAGGAATCCTAATCCTAATCCTAATGCTAATAGGATTCCTAATCCTAATCCTAATCTTAATAGGAATCGTAATCCTAACTCTAATCCTAATAGGAATCCTAATCCTTATCCTAATAGGAATCCTAATCCTAATCCTAATAGGAATCCTAATTCTAATCCTAATAGGAACCTTAATCCTAATCCTAATCCTAATAGGAATCGTAACTCTAATCCTAATCCTAATAAGAATCCTAATCATAATCCTAATAGGAATCCTAATCATAATCCAAATACTAATAGGAATCTTAATCCTAATCCTAATAGGAATCCTAATCCTAATAGGAATCCTAATCCTAATCCTAATAGGAATTCTAATCCTAATCATAATCCTAATAGGAATCCTAATAGGAATCCTAACCATAATCCTAATCCTAATCCTAATAGGAATCCTAATCATAATCCTAATCCTAATAGGAATCCTAATCCTAATCCTAATCTTAATAGTAATCCTAATCTTAATCCTAATCCTAATCCTAATCCTAATAGGAATCCTAATCCTAATAGGAATCTTAATCCTAATCCTAATCCTAATCCTAATCCTAATCCTAATCATAATAGGAATCCTAATCCTAATCCTAATCCTAATCCTAATAGGAATCTTAACGCTAATCCTAATCCTAATAGGAATCGTAACCCGAATCCTAATCCTAATCCTAATAGAAATCCTAATCCTAATAGGAATCCTAATCCTAATCCTAATAGGAAGCCTAACCCTAATCCTAATCCTAATCCTTATCCTAATGGGAATCCTAATCCTAATCCTAATCCTAATCCTAATAAGAATCCTAATCCTAATCCTAATAGGAATCCTAATCTAAATCATAATCCTAATCCTAATAGGAATCCTAATCCAAATCCTAATCCTAATCTTATTCCTAATCCTAAGAGGAATCCTAATCCTAATAGGAATCCTAATCCTAATCCTAATCCTAATATGATTCCTAATCCTGATCCTAATCCTAATAGGAATCCTAATCATAATCCTAATAGGAATCCTAATCCTAATAGGAATCCTAATCCTAATAGGAATCCTAATCCTAATCTTAATCTCAATAGGAATCTTAATCCTAATCCTATAAGAATCCTAATCCTAATCCTAATGCTAATAGGAACCTTAATCCTAATCTTAATAGGAATCGTAATCCTAATCCTAATCGGAATCCTAATCCTAATCCTAATCCTAATAGGAATCCTAATCCTAATCCTAATCCTAATCCTAATAGGAATCGTAATCCTAATCCTAATAGAAATCCTAATTACGAAGTGCTCCAATTTAGTACTCCCTCTGTATTTAAAACATGACTACATTAGGTTATGGCAAAAGATTTAGGAAGAATAATTAGGGTAATGAATTGTATAGAAAAAGTACGAGAGAAGGTGAGAAAGTAGGAAAAAAAGGATAAAAAGTAGAAAATGTAAGAGTAATTAGGTATTTTTAAAGAAAGAATTTACCAAAAAAGGAAAGTGTATGGAATTATTAAATACGAAGGGAGTGTTGAATACAACAAAAAGTGTATCATAATTTTAAATAATCGTATAATTTCATACGGAGTATTTTATATCGTTCAAATTTAAATAATTATGGATTTGATTATTTCTTAAATGTGTGGGTTTTTATTGTACAATATCATTTTATCTTTCTTATTATTGTAAACTATAGATACAAAATATATTATTCCCTTCGTTCTAAAATTGAGGACATAGATGGATACAGATATACCCAAATATTATTAGGGGTCAGAAAGTAAGCCATATGAAATCATTCGATCTGTGCTCTCAGCCACCATGAAAATTGGAGGACTCGGATAAGGGTTAGATGGAACAAGTTCAATCCGCTTCCGATGCACGTACAAATTAAGCTTGGAGGCTGATTAACCAAGGGGCCTGTGAATGCGGTACGTGTACGGTTGGATGGGTGAGGAGGCAGATTAAAAACGGATCATTATGTACTGTAGATTTAGGTTTTAGTTTAGAGTTAATTATCAAAATAGGACTAAAAGTCATTCACTTTTCACAAATAGGACCAAAAAATAAACTATGTTTCCATAGGACTAATTATGTGTACCTTGGACAATTATACCCTTATAGCTATTAAAATGTTTTAATTCCTAATAAAATAATAAAAAATAATAAAAATTCGTAAAAAATACTAAAAAATTAAGAAAAACATTTCGATATTAAAAATTTAATTATTTTTTTTTTCAAAAAATTAAAAAAATTAAAAAAAAAATTAAAAAAATAAAAACTCAAAAAAAAAAATCGCCGCCGCCTCTGCCGCCTCAGCACCACCACCTCCAGTCACCAGGGGAAAAAAATGCCAAGTTCATTACGAATGCCATATTTATGGCAGAAAAAAATGAAAATGTTAACATTCGAAAAGAGAAATATGCCACTTTTTGGCATTTTCAGAAAAAAATGGCATTTTTCTGGGAAAATGGCATTTTTTTCATCGCCCGGAGGTGGTGGTGCTGGGAGGTAGTACAGGCGGTGGGAAAGGCATCCATATTTTTTAACATTTATTTTACGGAGTTTTACTATTTTTTATTAATTTTTTTAAAAATAAAATTATTTTAAAAAACAGTTTTTGAATTTTTTATTTTATAAAAATTTTAAAAAAATTTCAATTATATTTCTACGAATTTTTTGAATTTTTTTCGAATTTATTATGAATTAAACATTTAATTATGGCTTTTGACTATTTTTAATTCATCTTTAATGGAAGGGTAAGAATGGAATGCAAAAATAGGTATGTTTCCAATAGGACTCATATGGTCCTATTTTAGAATAAAAACATAGCAAGTCCTATTTTAGGTTTTTGCCATGGTTTTAGTCCTATTTGAACTAATTTCTATTTAGTTTATAGATGAGTTGAATGTTAAGTTGGTTGAGCTTTATATATGGGTTAACAAAAAGGTGGTTTGGTTTGGATTGTGTAGAAGGGATTTATTACCACCATTGAATTTATTATTTTAACTCCAAAGTTTTTCTCTTTTTAATCAAATTTCACATTAAATTGAATAATAATATATTCCTAATTATAGCTTTTTATATAAATTTTTATAACTCTTACATTTACTATTCTTTTAATACATTCTTTACATTTGATTTGTCTAAATACTTTTTTCACTAATAACGTTAACAAATGATAATATATAACTTATACAGAGTATTTAATTTTGGTGATGCACGGGTGAATCTAGTAATCTAGTATGATCTAAGTCTCTAACGTACTTGATTGATTTTTTTCATCTTTTCTTTCATACTTTTACACAACCAAATGAAACCGAACAAGTTATGCATAATGACACATTGACCGTGTGATACTGTAATAGTCGGTTACTATCAAGTCTATCACCATTCGCGCAATGTTTGTTTTAAAAAAATTAAAACATTACATCAGATATACTACCCAGGGGTGGACCGGTTCCGGTTCAGGCCCGGTTCGGGCCTGGGCCCGACCGAGCCTCGATTCAAAAAAGGGAGGCCCGGAACCGGCCCGGGTACCCCCAAGTCCGGGCCGGGCCGGGCCTGGCCTCGATTCTTTTTTTATTTTTTGGCTTTTCCTAGTTAACCTCCAACCCTCCCCTAGGGGTGGACTCGGGCCAGGCCAACCGGCCCGGAACCGGACCGGCCCGCTACTGTGCGGGCCCGGCCCAGACCGGTGAACCGGTTCTGGGCCCGGTTCGGGCCAACCAGCCCGGTGGGATGGCGGTTCGGGCTCGGGCCTTCAAAAGGTGAACCGGCCCGGTCGGTTCGGGCCCGGCCAATTTTATATTTTTTTTTGTGATTTTTTTTTAAGTTTTTGGGTTGGGCTGAGTATTTTGGGCCATTTGAGGTGGTTAGGATTGGTTTGGGGGTGAGGGGGAGGGTTGGGGGTTAACTAGGAAAAGCCAAAAAAAAAAAAAAAAAAAAAAAAACCGAGGCCCGGCCCAGACCCGGGGGTTACCCAGGCTGGTTCCGGGCCTCCCCTTCTTGAACCGAGGCCCAGCCGGGCCCGAACCGGAACCGGTCCACCCCTACCCTCTCCCTCACCCCCAAACCAACCCTAACCACCTCAAATAGCCCAAAATACCCAGCCCAACCCAAAAACTTAAAAAAATTCAAAAAAAAAACAAAAAAAGGCCCGACCCGGGCCCGACCCGGTTCACCTTTTGAAGGGCCCGAGCCCGAGCCGCCATCCCACCGGGCCGGTTGGCCCGAACCGGGCCCGGAACCGGTTCACCGAGCCGGACCCGCACAGTAGCGGGCCGGTCCGGTTCCAGGCCAGTTGGCCCGGCCCGAGTCCACACCTAATACTACCTCCGTCCCATAAAATTCTTCTCACTTTGACTTGGCACGGAGATTAAGAAAGTGGAATAAAGCGGAAATGTATGGTTGTGTTTGTGTAAGAAAAAGGAGAAATGAATGTGAACTATACAAATTATCCAAAAATGGTAAGTGAGAAAGTTTTTTTGAGACGGACCAAAAAGGAAAGTGAGAAAAATTTTATGAAACAGAGGGTCAGAGGAAGTATAAATAAGAAAATTATGCCTTATTCTTATCTACTCAATACATAGCTACTCCAACTTGTAGTTCAAATTTCAAATATAATAACACTTCTAAGGGTAGTTCTACTCAGTGTCCACACTTGTATCGACAGTGCTTAAAGTAGTTCCAAACCAAGGCAGCAGGGAAATACATTCCATGCCAAGTTAGTACCAGTGACCGATCCCATTAATAAAACATGACATAGAGATCAACCGATGGTCATGCTGCTAAAAAAGCTAATAAAAATTATAAAACAAACACCATCTACCCCTTGAAGGGCCTTGGACTGTAATGGAGACCTCTCTTTTCCTCGGGATGTAGAGGGAGGAAATCAAGGAGCTACAGTTGGATCACTAATGACACCCAAGAAATCATCCTTTATAGTGCCAATACAGAACTGAAATATGAAAGAATCAGATTGGATGGTTTTTCTTTATTTCTTATAAGAAATACTCGAACATAGATTTGCAGATATTTAGAGCACAACACTGATTCCCCATTCAGCATACATGATAAACGGAGAGTAAATAGAAGTACAAACATACACACAAAAAGGAAATAATAATGACATAAAGAGTATATATTATTAAACCTTTCCTTTTTACTTGTGTAAAGCGTTTCAATGGAGAAATCTATACCATTCGAAATCAAATAAAGGCATGCTTCTTTAGGGTGTGAGCTTTATGGGAAAAGCATGCGACTGTTTTGATTGTCCTCACCCAAGACCAAGGGATGGGAGGAAACTTGGAGAAGAAAGAAGAAACTCTTAAATTATTCAAATTAAGGAACAAATGCTATTTAAGCCTCCAAATATAGTGAGCCACTATTTATCTTATCAGTGCTGCACATTTTGGATCAGACAATGTGCACTTCAATGCATAAGAGATGCACTTTTTGCATGCCAACTTCTTATTATTTACAAATACATCACCACACAACAATTGATTTCATCCCTTAACCCTCCATTTTTAGACCAATGGTTAAGATTCAAACAAAGTGTTCACCAAAAAAACACTTTATCTTTGAGTATGTGTGTAAAGAAGGCTTGATGACATACAATTTCTGTAGCGTCGACTCGAGTTCCAATAATCTTCAATCGAACTTCGCTCTCTTTCTGAATTTTAACCTGAAAGATCGGGCAGATAAAACACAAAACTACAAAATTATAGAGTCACTTGAAATTTGATTTGATAGTATGAACTTTAAAGCATGAAGATACATATAATAACCATGACTAAAAGAATAGCATTAAGCATTTGTGAAAATTACATACAGATGCATCTGAGGTTGTGTAATTTGGCACATCTCCAGATTGAAACTCCATGTCATCAGGTATTAACTATACAAAAAAAGAAATATAAACAATGTTTAGAATACATAAAACAAAAAAGACTCCATTAAATTGGATTTTCTATATATTGTGGCAAAGCAATAAAATAAATAGTTGAACATGAAAAAGCAAAGAAGAAGAGTATTGATAAACAGAGATTAGGTTATGCTACTGCAGCTCAGTTGGTGTTACCCAAAGGAATCATAATTTAATCTCAATAGTTATAAAAACGTGTAAACCATCATGAGAGAAAATTGAGGGACGCTAACAATTAAGTGAAGAAGAGTACTTGACATAAGCATTCCTTCTACCAAAAGAAGAAAAAGTTCAATGCATATAGAAGCTAAGTTACTCCCGAAAGTCTCACTGACAGGTAAATTTTTTAATCTCTAGTCAACTCAATCAACATACAAGTTGTTACAAATAACAAATGGTCTACAATACCTGTAAAGCTTAACTCAAAGATTGTTTGGAGCAATTAGCTACAACCACTTGCCTCAAAGCTTTTTGGGGATTTTACTTAAAAATAAAAGTTAGTTTTTAAAGGGAGACAATTGTTTTATAGGTAAGGAGAAACTACTGTTTTATAGGTAAGGAGGGAGAGTACTATCCCTCTTATGCTACCAATATTGGTTATATTGTAAGACTATGCCTCAAACTAAAAAATAATCTAGTTTTAGTTTCCTGTTATGGGGCAGACCCAATAATTTGATGTGCCATTGAATCACTCCGTATATGTTAATAATATAACCAAGGACTGGTACATAATTTACTCTTATAAAGCCAACTGCGTAGATGAAGAATTCTTTTTAAAGATAACAGTGGCTTCCAAAATAAGCTTAATACCGTCTACAAAGGAATAAATGCATTAGAGACTTGATATGTACAAGAATGTTTTATGGAAGAAACCCAAAGAAAACTCACATGATTTGAGACGAATATCTGTACAGGACCGGCTTCTGCGAAGAAGCCCATCTGGATAAATTAAGCACAAATTGAAAACATTATACCGGATTAATACTTACTTGCTCTAAAATAACAGACCCAAATGCATCAATCGCTCAACCAGGTTATAAAATCCGACCTTGTTAACCATGGTAACAACAGCTTCAAGAATCTCCCCTTTAAACGGTCGAAACACAACGCACTGATACTTCACCGGGAAAGAGACGAACCCAGTGCCATCCCGAATCAGACCTTTGCCTACGCTCTCGACTCCGGTGATCGCGACCACGAAACCGTGCCGCCCACTGAGAAAGATGAAAGATTTGAACAAAAACTCTCACGAATAAAGTGCGGAATAGGGTTGCAAGTGAACCTGCAAGTGCCCTCGACATCTCTCATGAGCTTTGCGACAAGCTTGTCCCGGAGATCTCGGCCGAAGTGGCGGGGGTGGAGTTGCATGTTTCGCTCCAGTACTATGTGGAAAAACATCTCTCTAATTTCCCGAGACCGAATCGCTGCTCAAAACGTGTTTATGTTGTTTGAGATGTACAGGGGAGTTTATATAGGAGTCGGAAGTAGGGTTGTAGACGTGTTCTACCGTAATTTCAGTCGGTTTAGCTAAAAGAGTAACCATTCATACTTATTTTCATTGAGGAAATTGCCAGGATTCCAAAAAAAAATCTTTATTTTTCTCTCCTAAACAAGAATCGTTATCGTCATGATTGAAAATATTGTCGACACACTAAACACCTAATACTATAATTATTGCATAATTATGACTTCAAGATCATAGTAAATATTGTCATGTTCTAAGTAGCACGGAAACGGGAAACGGGAAACGGGAAACGTCGGAAACGCCATTTACCAAAAATACAGGACATGAAACGCGGGGGAAACGCGCAAATATTAAAAATATAGGGGTTACTTTATAAATATTATATATATATATATTTGTGATTTTTTTTATATGTGTGTGTTTATATATATGTATATTGACACACACATATATGTACAAACATGCCACACGAGATTATGTCACCAATCACCATAAGGAAGTCTAAAATTATTGAAATCTTAGTCACCAAAAGTATTGAAATCTTAATCCATAACAAAACATTAAACACAACATCCATAAAAACAAATTAAATTGTAGTGGAGGCATCTTCCACGGGATCAACATCTTCATTAAAAAAGACACATTCAAGATCAGGTTCATCCAGTGATAGATTTGCAAACTCAAGAACACCAACATCTTCCAAGCTTGCAAATTGATCCCCACCAACATCCCACATCTTAGTGTTCTCATCTTCATACTGGGCAGAATTTCTTGAAAGTAAGCGTAGATTATTGTGAATGAACACCAAATCTTCTGCACGCTTCGGATTTAATTTGTTCTGTCTTAATGAATGGATAAAAGAATAAGTACTCCAATTTCGTTCACAACAGGATGAAGAGCTAGGTTGTCCAAGCACTTTAAATGCCAATTTTTGGAGTAATTGTGCACCTGATCCATACACTGCCCACCACTTTCTAGGATCCGTATCACACATAGCAGCAATACAATCTGGGTCGCTAAACGGACCAATCTTCAAAGAGAAATTAGCATATTCATCAATAGCCTTAACACGCTCTTCAGAAGGAAAAATTCGCCTAAAACACTTATTTCTCTCTAATGAAAGTTCATTATCCATATGTGGAGGCGATCTCCCAACTCCTTCCTGGATCCATTGATCGCTATAATACCTACAATTTATAAAACAAGTACATAATAATATATAATTATAGGACTTAAATAAATAGCTACTAGGGGAATTAAATTAAAACATAAATAAATACCACGGATTTAAGGAATGAGCTAAGCAATGAAGCGGGGTGTTGTTCTTCGTCCAACGTTCAACTAGAATGCGATGAACAACATAGTAAAAGGGAGAATATTCATCATATGTTTTTCCTTCATGCGCAAAGATAGTCATTCTCACCTTTTCAATCATTGAGTCCCACATCTCGTAAACCAAATGGAGGCATGGTTTGTCAGTATCACAAATTCTAATCATATCATACATAGGCCCAGTGAACTGCAATATGTAATCAACCTTCTCCCACCAACCTTCATCTAAAATCTTTTCTCGCACAAATTTAGCCTTTCCTTGATCATCATCTCGATATTCTGCCCATTCATCACTCAAAACCATTGCTTCTAAAGCACGTCTCAAAAGTTTAAACCTCTTAAGCATGACAATAATAGAAGCAAAACGAGTATCACCTACTGAAAGCAACTTCAAAGTGCTAAATCGGCAGAACATAGAAAGCCTCATGGAATGGTTCATTATGAAATTTTTTATGTGCACCGCATCTCCATGAACTTCTGTGATCCAATGACACTCTTCATACGTTTCTGCATTTGTTAACACATTTTTTGCCGCACAGATGTTCTTTAAGGCAAGGTTAAGAGTGTGAACAACACAAGGAGCCCAATAAATATGCGGAAATAGACCTTCAATAATTTCTCCAGCTGCCTTGCAATTTCTAGCATTATCGGTGATTACTTGAATGACTTTGTGATCACCAATCTCATTAATAACATCTGTCAATATATTAGCAATGAAATGCTTATCTTTTACCTCCCCTGAACAATCGACAGCTTTGATAAACATTGGGCCAGCTTCACAAACAACCATCACATTAATTAGTGGCCTCCTTTGTGGATCACTCCATCCGTCACTAACTATGGTCACACCTTTTTCGTACCAAGTGCTTTTTATAGGTTGCAAGGACATCTCCACATGTGCTTTCTCCCGTTGAAGTAATGTAGTTCTCAACTTATTATAACCAGGAGGTATATATCCACCCAAATTATGATTAGCAGCAAAAGTATATGAGCTAATATAATATGGATTTCTTGCAAAATTGAAAGGAATGCCTCCGGTGAAGAACATCCTTGCAATCTCTTCATCTAGCTGATTCCTAGTTTGCAAATCAAAAGCTTTGGAAATGGGCGAGTCATCGACTCTTCTTCTTTTCAACATCTCTAAACGACTTGGTTCATTTATCGATAAATATGTTGAGCTGCTTTGCGTGCTACTACTAGGCAAGGATACTCGCTTAGGTTGTGAACCAGCAATTTGCTTTGCAGCATCTTCTTCAAGCTTTTTCATTTCTAAAATGCTCTCCGGCCCAACCTTTGGACATACAGCAATCCCTTTTGAAGGCAGTTTGAGTAAATGAGCTCTCACTCTAATGTATGTCCCCTGTTTTTGGCTACCACAAAAGTTGCAAATCCATTTCACATTGCCACCTCCATCACCAGTTTTTTGGAGTCTTTTAACAAATTGCCACAAATGACTACTTACATCCTCTTTAAATTGTGGCATTGGCGTATTATTAACACTGTCCTCCATCACTAGAGAATTAAAAATAATCTAAGTTAATCAAAACTTAATCAAATTGAATTAATCTAATTAAAAACTTAATTGCATATACAAAAACTAATTAAATTGAATTATACAACATTTAACAATTCAAATTTAATCAATTAAAAAAGCTGGCAGCCTGCCATTAGCCCATTACGAAGGAAAAACTCATTACGAACTCATACCTGAACGGTTTTGCCCTTAGCCCATTACGAAGGAAAAATTCAGCCCACTAAGCGTGTGTAAGTGCGTTTCATACCTGAACGGAAGCTTGCGGACGAGTGGACGATCTTTGCGGCTTTGCCCTTTGGAGAAGCCGGCGAACTCTGCGGACTGCGGATGGAAGGAAGACTGCGTACTCGTAGGCCTTAGGGTTAAAGAACGAAGAGCGGACGATGAAAGGTTTTATTGTTCCGTTTGAGCAGACCCTAAAATTGATCGGATATGCGTTTAAATTTTTGGAAACGCGTTTCCAAAATTTACAAAATTGGGAAACGGCCCAGATCCGCGTATCGCGCGTTTCCTGCGCTCGGAAACGTTGGAACGTTTCCGGAACGGGGAAACTCCCCACCCCCTGCGTTTCCGTGCGTTTCAGGTCATGTTACTTTTATTTCAGAAAGAAAAATATAACAGTCATATATTGGAATCCAAAGCATGTTTACCTTTATTTCAAGAACTTTCTCTTTTGATTGTTATTCAACTCAGTGCACGAAATCATAAGTTACATATTTGGTGGAAAAAATGACTGATATAGCTGATAAATTGAAAAAATTTACCAAAATAATTCGTAGAATCCGTTTAAAAACACCGAAATGGGATGAATCGACTAATTCTGCTAAAATTGATGATGGAGTATATGGGTCTGAGCCCCCGGACCCACATACTCAGAAGAACAGAAAGCACAAGACACAGAGTGGCGCCCTCGTCGGCCAAGGGACCCCGTCGGCCGAAAAGGTGCCAACTCAGATTATGGTCCTGAGCCCAAGGAACCCGGGTGCCCTCGTCGGCCGCGCCCTCGTCGGCCGTGCCCTCGTCGGCCACGCCCTCGTCGGCCACAAAGACCTCACAGAACCGGATTCTACACTTACTCATTTGTACAGCCCATTAGTGGCTTTGTATTCGGCCCAGTAGCGGTCCAGTTGTAAATGGGCCTCCCAAGCCCAAGGCTTGGGAGCCCAGCCCGTATTTTCTCTATAAATACTCCCCTTGGGAGTAGTTATAGGGGTTACAAATTCATTCTATTGAAGCATATTATTGCACTTCTCTCTCTAGCTCTCACTTCTCTCTAGATATACTCTATCATTTGGTGCTTTCATTGAGAGCTAGAACAATCAAGTTAGCACCCTTCGTCGCTACCAAGCACAGCTAACCACTGATCATGGGAAGAACTAAATCAAACCGCAACCTCGTCAGCAAAGCCATCCCTGAGGACCAAGGGGCCAGGGAGCATGATGAGGATGCCACGGCCGACCAAGTCGGCGGGGGGACGTCTTCCAGGAGGCCTTCAACCTCACGACGGACCTCCGCAACCAACTCAACGGCGGAGCCCCTGACGCCCGCCTCGGCTTGGACAAGAAACGAGCTGAGAAGACGGACCACGCCCCGGCCCAGCCTATGTCCGCGGCCTCTCCGTCCGTGGATCCACAGGTCCAGGCCGCGCTGTCGGTCATCATCGCCAGCCTGGCTCAGAACCCCACCGTCCTCAGCGCACTCTTGCCAGGGACCGGGGGGAACGTCACTCCACCTCCTCAACACCAACCGTTGGCCGTCCAGATAGGCAACGATGAGGGGGTGGTGGCCCAGGACACGGTGTCTTCCCACTCCCACCCCGCTTCCCCTCTTTGGCCTGGGCAGACCCCAGCGCGTGGAAAAGCCTCTGCCTTCAACAGGCTAGGTGACACGCGTCGTCGTCCGGTTTCGGAGAGGGTGGCAGGACAGATTGGTGAGCGTCGGCCTGGCTCGCCGAGGGAAAGCTTGGGGTGTGTGTCCCGGACAGCGGACCAGCCCCGCCCAGACAAAGGCAAGGGGAAGTTGCACGAGGACGACGTGCGCCACCAGATCAACGCGGCTCACGACGAGCGCATGAGGAACCACCCAGGCGCCGCTGCGGCCGCTAGGGACCCCTGGGACGAGGTCATCGCCCAGCTGGAAAGGAGGCTGGCTCGGATGGAGGCCAAGCAGTCGGCCAAC